ATCAGTATTTTTGAATTTTTGAACTTGTTGTTCCATTTAAGTAATATACTATATTAACCTGAAGATGATCTATTGAATAGATCGAAAGTGTTTGTTATAATAAAAAATCTCTCAGCAAATATTAAGGTGTTGGTTAAGTTTTTTTTTTTTTATCATGTGTGGAAAAATACTTAAAAAATTTCCCAAGTTTATTCTCCACTACATAGGGATAGCACCATACCTGACTAACCCACTGCTGAAAGGTTAATTTTCCTATTTCATCCAATAATTCAAAGAAATCGTTAACTCTAAGTCCTGTTGGGTCCTTTGAAAAGGAAGGTATTAAAAGAATGATGTCCCAATTCTGCCTGCCGCAAGTGCACTTCCGGCTGTCTCTCCTTGCGAGTGTCCTGGAGGGTTTCTCTCTCCTCTCGCCTCCATCCTTTAGAACTTAGTTGCGATTTAGCTTGTAAATTGAATTTTGCTCTGACACCACTTTCACTAGAGGGTCGTCAAATAAGAAAAGTTTAAAAATTAATAAATTATAAAATTAATTATTTTTATTTAAAAAATTAATTTGATATATTTTGTTGTGGTTAATTTAAACTTCCATCTCATCTGGGTTCTCACAATAACAACCAAAATTTAAGGAAATCATGGGCCTCACAACTATCTACTGATGCTATTATTATTGAAATCAAGTAAAATTACTGAAAACAAAACTGGACATTACAGAAATAAATAAACTATAAAAATTTTCTTAATCCAGAATATAATTATTTAGAAAAACAAATACTTTTTGGCCATTTTAAATAGCCATTTTCAAGTTCTGTTCATTAACATTGGAATTTTAGAACAATCATTCAAAAATAGAATGGCAGTGCATGCTGTTTATATGTTATTGTGTATAATGTTTTGAAAGTCATATAACTAAGGCTTTAAGAGGTTAGCCTGTTATTTATGTAGGAACTGCCACATGTTAGGTAGGCTTTCTGAATAGGCCCTATGATTTATGCAGTTAGGAAAATCATGTATTGTTACTATTGTTCTTATTCTGTTCAGCTCTATCTGTTTAATGGTTAATGACAAAGAATATTTACATGCTCTTGTAACCAGGGCTCTAAAAAACAACAGCTTATAAGGGGCAGGATCATTTGACATAAAAGGGATATGAAGAAGTATGAAAAATGGTTTCACATCAAAGTTTTTAACATCCTTTTTTTTTTAAGTTTGGTGGTCCACTGTGATTTATGTGTAGAAAATGAACTGTTGGTTTGTTTTCTGTTCAAAAACTGAAATGAGGGTGTATGGATTGTTGTTGGTGATGCCAGTGAACTTGTCAATGTTTGCACAGTTTTCCATATGATAAGTATGTTCCACATATCTAACATAATGTACAGTACAATGTTGTGCACATATTTGGTATAAAGCTGGTGTGAGTCTGAAGTTAATTAAAATTAATACATGATTAATTGAGAAAGTGGAAAAACCCCAGTTTTTCCCACCATCTGCATTCGACATTTCATCCACATTCGACGGAAATATGAAGTATATTTCTGTGGATCTTAGAGATAAACAGAGGATCAAATCTCATCACGAATCAACAATCTTTACGATGTTTTGAGTAAGTTCCAGAAATAAATCCAAACATCTAATTACTAATGATAGGAAACTGTCAAAATGGATGAAATTATGAGGTAAGATAAATCACACCAACGGCTAGAAAGTATCAATAATTCGGCTGAATCATCCGGTTCTTGACAGCTTGTATTTGCTGAACCAGGACATAGCTTGAACTTAGACCGCATTAAATCAAAGTCACTTGACTTTTCTCCCACGCTCAAGGGAGGATAAAAAGGGCTCAAACTCAAGCCTTGGGGAGGACATAAAAGGAAGACCATAGATGACGATGGCTGGTTTGCCATGTTCCTGGCTCCATAAAGGATTCGCGACAAATACTCCTCAACAGATGTAGAAGACATCCTCATTCTCTCTCAGAGATATTATGTTAAAATGTTTGTAAACTCTCTCTTGGTCAATTAGCCTATAAGGACATAGATATAAGGCTTTATTTTATCCAATGAACATGATATTGAATGTTTTGTTGCATATAACTGTCTGTAATCATGTATGCTTTAAATTAGTTTATTTAATTGTTAGTTTTGTTGGTTAACCTACTCTAGTATGGACTTATTAGGCACCAACATCCTATCAATGGACAAATCACCCCTCTGTCACTAGGGGTCAACCATCCAGTGACAAAGTGAGCAGTCTTTACCAGACCATCACTGATCCAAAAGGGGTTTAAACCAGTATTCACTGACCCACCCAGCTTCTCACACTGGCTTCTAACTTTCTTACAATGAACTCACAGTAAACCTGCTATAGGATTATCCAAAGATATGTCTCATTTTTGAATGTATGTGATTATGTGGTCCTTTAAAAAATAAAAAAAGAAAGAGTAGGATGTTAGATCTGCTGGTTTGAAGATGTATTTGAGCATGTTATCAAGTAAGGAGTGGCTGCCAAGAGAATATTTCACTGATCACAGAAACAAGGTGGTAACATTTGATGAGAACATATTTTTGAAATCCAACTGGATTTCAAAAATATTTGATAGAATTTCAATGCTAAAGAATAGAATATGAAGATGGCTATTTAAAATAGCCAAATTAGCCATTTGTTTTTCTCAATAAAGCTATGACAACTGTCATATGACATTGGACTAAATAATGGCTATAATAGTTATAAATTATAGATAAATTTGACCCCTGAGGGAGGTTTAGGTGCCATCTCATATTAAATTTAATAATGATAATTTAACTAAATAATTTTAAATTAAATTGGAAGAAAAGAATCAGCCCAGAGCAGGACTTGAATTCGCAACTGCTGCTTGCTGTGTGGATGCATTGCCAATTATGCTACCTGGACCTCCAGTCTGATCTCCTATTCCAGTATATTTAACATTATGATATAACCATTGGTGGTTATTACGATGCCAACTGGGGATGCATTCAGTGCCCTTGTCCTGTAAACTCCCACATAAGGCACTCAGCTGGCCATCACATACATGGCAAGGCATATAAATACGAATGTAAACATCTTTAACCTTAATCTAGCATATAATTATTTGTTTTTCTCAAATAATTATGTGCTGGATTAAGAAAAGGTTCATAGTTTTTTTTATTAACAAGACTATGTCTTGTTTATAAAATCATACTGCCAGTTTATGTTACCAGCTTAGAGGTATGAAGGAGTACATGTCGAGAGTTAATATTTGGCACAGAGTATTAGGTACCCAAATTATTTGCGCATAAAAAAAATCCAGACTTGTAGGTAGTCAGGGGACTGAGAACCGAGTCAAAATAAAACACAAAATGACGACCCTCTTCTACAAACAGACAAAACATGCACCTCACCCCACCAAAGTCAGGTAGGGGAGAGTACCACCCACAATCATTCTAAGAAGGGAACTCTGACCTTAGGACTGAACACGTAGTTTCTTCTATGTTAAATAAAATTTGTAATCTAATTTTGTAAATTTGGGAGTGCTTCAAATATGACATTAAAACAGGGTATCATTACAAGTAGGTTTTTTTAACATTATTTAGTATAGTAAAATTGTGGGACCGATAAAAATTTGATGTTATATTAGGGTCGTCGTTACATCCAATGACGTTATAATCAGGTTAAACTGTATATTGTTTGTGCAAAATAAAAAAATAATCTTGAATGATACAATAGCCACAATTATTTTTTTCAAAAATGGGAAATTTTTGTTACGCATTGACAAAAATGCAATCCGGGCCAACATGCAATGGTGAGAAATTTCTAAATTGGATAGGTTAATTTAATTGAGTGCATCGTGGATGACCTCGTGATCGTGGCCGGCGAAGTTTGAACGATCGCGCCCAAAAGCAGCGATACCAAAGAAGATTGTAGAATGAGAACGAGACTCGTCTTGAGTGTCAAAGTACGTAATTCCGCTTAGTAGTGAGTCTCTGAGACATAGTCTTGTTCCAAATACGGTTTTGCTGTTTTACTTGTTTATTTATAGAAATGAGTATTTAAATATTAATGTAACCTAATATAAGCATGTTAAATATTAATGTAACCTAGATTGATGAAAATCATTGAATTTATTTTATTCAACATTTTTAATAAATAAGCTATTAAGCTTTAAAATAAGAATATTTATAAAATATTAAATTAATAGTTGAATAATTGTAAAATTTGCAAAGATTATAAAGGAAAGAAAATAATTTTAAACATTTTTTTCTCCCTTTCCTTGTTTCATTGATGATAGTTACAATTTATATGATTACTTTTGCCAATTACTAATTTCTACAATTTTTATAACAAAAATATTAAAAGTTTTTTTTATTGTTGGAAATAATGGTTATATATATATATATATAAATGGACATGTATGTCCCTATATTTCACTTTTCCGCCAAAACTACACATCGCACGTGAATGGTGTTTGTATGTGGTAGTAGCCCCAAGTCTCCATTCGTGCACCAGGGTCTCGATAGCTATAAGGGTGCGGGAGATATGAGGCTGAAAGTGGTTGAAAGTGGCTTTCTATTTCGAATGTTTTGTTCGAACAAATTCGAACAATATTCGAATTAAATTCGAACATAAAATTTGAATATTGGTTCGATTATAGAACGATTGTAAACGTTCCAGAAACGTTGAAAATAGTTCGTTTGACTTGACGTGAACAGGAGATGTCCAGAAATAGAATCGGGACCGGGTCTCTAATCAGAAACGGGGGACCTAATTCTTGCATTCTGTGAAAACGGGTAAGATTGGCTATAATGTAATTATCTTAATCTTCACTATCGTTACTTTTTAAAAACCCAGCGAAGCGGGTCCTTGCAGCTAGATTCTAGATTACTTAGAAAAACAGTCTTTTATATATATAAAAAAAAATATATTACATACAAATGTACGAACAAATAAAAACCCAGCGAAGCGGGTCCTTGCAGCTAGTTAAATAATAATTTCTTTATTTTCAGTATGCATCCTAATATTTTTGTTGGAAAAGTGGATGGTTCAGCAATGTATCGTAAATGGTATTATGAAGCTATGGTGGATCATACAGAGACGGTTTCTCATTTGCATCCACATTTTCGCGTTGGATGGGCTAACAACAAAGGATATGTTCCATATCCTGGAGGTGGTTCAAAATGGGGAGGAAATGGAGTAGGAGATGATTTATATTCATTTGGATTTGATGGCTGTTACATGTGGGCAGGTAAACTACTTTTTTATTCAATTTTAAGTTTTGTTATAGTAGACTTGTTATGTACTAATGAAAGAAATTCACCAAAGTTTAATAAGTTTAATTATTATTTTTTGTCTTATATTTTCCTAATGCATCAGTAATGTATTTAATCTTTTTAAAGTTGTTTATAATATTTATTTGAAATGCTCAGTTTAGATGAAATTCTTAGTTCTAAATACATATATTTGAGAATAATACAAATTTAATTTTATATTTAAAAAATTGTCTTCACAGGCAAAAATATTTTTAATAGTTTTCTCTTTTTGATGATATAAAAGTGTAATTTTATACCATATATGATGAAATTAAAAAATCAGAAAATTTTTTAAAAATTCTAAAAATTTTGTTAATTTATCAATTTAGTGTTGCACAGAAAATTATATGATAGGCCTAATTTATATAATTTTATTAGAATATTTCAAACTGTATATTATTTTTTTTGTGGTGTGCAACAATTTTTTGGAAATTTTGCATGTAAATTTATGTTTCAGTGAAATTTTGGATCTTGAAAATATTCTGTACTTTGTAAGATTCTTTCAAAGCCAAGGTTCTGTCAGAAGCATTTTGTAGAAAAGCCTTAGTTTAGAATGCTACCACTCAAAAACTGGGTATACTTGAACTAAAGCCACTAAAAAAACCTAATATTCGATAGGAAAGTTTGGAAGTGCTAACATTTTTTGCCTGTGTTAAACATGCATTATCAATTAAACTACTCTTCCAGCTGCTGAAACAATGGAGGATTGTTGCACATTTGTGAAGAGGGGAGGTGACATAAGAAGAGAAAAAGGGGAGGGGGAAGGATAATAGGATTTATAGTTCAAAGAAAGACGTCCACACTGTGAAGAAAGAGTCAATATTGCAAAAAGTGAATGTGTTATTGTGGGTGGCCTTATAAATTTCCATCTGCTCAAGATGTTTGAGAAAAGGTTGCCAGGAAGAGCTATGTAAGAGATGTGATTGGTTGAAGACCACATCAATGTCTGGGTCAGAGGCGAAAATAGCCAACACAGTGTTGGTCAATTTTTTTATGATGGGAATCTGATGTTTCTTGAGGTAGGTGTTTAATGGGCACATTGTAGCATCTATGTATTATAAGTGGAGGCTGGATATATAATTGGTGACAGGGATAGTATATCTGGTTGGAGGTACATGTTTGGATGGTCTTTGACATTGGGGAGAAGGGAGGAAATGAAGGGACTTCTACAGAAGGCTAAATGAAAGTTATTTTTCTTGGATATTTCCTTGTATAGGGAAGCTAGCTTCTTGTTATAAGTGATGGTCCTATCAACTGTGTCCTGAGTGTGATTTTTTGGCAAGGCAGAAGTGGCAGAGGAAAGGTGACATATGAGGCCTTTAATATCTGTGGAGAGTAGCTGTGTAGAGTTGTGTACTGGGTGATTGTTAGGAGCTCTGCATCTCTGTCATGCATGTTTGACAAATGGCCATCTTGAAGGTGAACAGATTGTGGGAAGGGGCAAGGATGAAGGTTAGGTGGTGTGTAGGCTTCCTATATACCTGAGTAGTAATGCATCCTTTGGATGAGGGAAGCTGGATGTCCAGGAAATAAACAATTTGATTGTTGTCTTGTTCAAGATGGAGCCTTAGGTCATAGGAGTTGTTGATTTTTTTCCTGGATACAAGATTTATTATGCCAGTTTATGAGAATGCCATAAACTGTGTATATAGAAGAATGTGGTTAGTGAAACTGGGAGGGTCTCAAGCTGCTGAATAACTAGTTTGCACACGGTGCCTGATAGAGGGCTGCCCATAGAGACATCCCTACTTTGTAGAAACCTGTTGCCTTCGAAGGGAAAGAAGGAAGTATGGCAAAGTAGATCAGCCAGTTCTAAAATATTATGGTGATGTTAATCTGAGTTCTGAATATATGAGAGGAGGAAATTACAGAGGGAGCAGAAGCATGGTTCAATATGGATGGATGGATAGAGATTGAAAGTCATAGACAGTAAAGTGTAAAGGGCCCTGGACTTTATGGTCTTTGAGTAATTACAATGTTGAGTAATTACAGTTGGCAATGGAGTATAGATGAAGAAAGAGTTGATCTAAGATGAAATTGTTGATCTTCCTTTTGAGCTGAATGGTGGGTGATAAATATTTATCCACAATGGGCCAAAGTTGTGTTCCAGGTTTATGAGCCTTGGCTAATGCAAAGATATGTGGTTTAGCTGGGGTGGTAACAGAAGCGTTATGTAGATGAAGAATATCTTCCAGAGAGGTGTTGGTGGATCGTAGAACCCTAGACTGTAGCTTAATGTGGTAGTTATTGGGCAACAGAGCAGTGTATGTCATGAATATATTCCTGGATGCCTTTGCGGTAAATAGATCTATACATGAGGACAATACCTTTAGATTTATCTGCTTTCAGGGCGATGATGTCATTAGAATTCATCCATTTCTTGGATTCTTGTACAGATATCCAAAGGACTGAGTTGTTCCTGATGGTGGGATTGCATCTGACAGTAAAGGTGGTTTTTCCATCTGTAACATTCTTTATGTAATTTATCCATACCCTCAATAAGGTGTTTCACTTCTGGGATTATGTGTTTAGATACAGGTGTAGAGGGTGGAGGAGTGAAAGATGGGCCATAATGGCTAGATGTACAGTATATTGTCCCAACAGATGACATTTTTGAGGTAACCAGATTGTTTGGTATATTTCTGCATGCTAAGCAGCCAGGAGATCTTTTTGTGCTGTATACAGAGGCAGGAATTAACAGAATTTGCCTTGTCAATGACTTGAGTGTAGCTATGGGAGAGCAAAAGAGGGTTACCTTGATTGATGATGTTTTCTAGACCTATGAGCAATTTAAGGATAGTGTATTTATGCCTCCTGGCTAGATGGATAGCTTTGTGAAGGTAAATATGATAGATCATAGATCCAGTCTCCACTTATAATACATAGATGCTACAATGTGCCCATTAAACACCCACCTCAAGAAACATCAGACTTCCATCATAAAAAAGTTGACCAACGCTATGTTGGCTATTTTTGCCTCTGACCCAGACATTGATGTGGTCTTCAACCAGGCACATCTCTTACATAGCTCTTCCCGGCAACCTTTTCTCAAACATCTTGAGCAGATGGAAATTTATAAGGCCACCCACAATAACACATTCACTTTTTGCAATATTGACTCTTTCTTCACAGTGTGGACGTCTTTCTTTGAACTATAAATCCTATTATCCTTCCGCCTCCCCTTTTTCTCTTCTTACATCACCTTCCCTCTTCTCAATGTACAACAATCCCCTATTGTTTCAGCAGTTGGGGGATTAGTTAGACTTATGATGCCTGTTTAACATGGGTGAAAAATGTTAGCACATCTGAACTTCTCTGTTTGATATTAGGTTTTTTTAGTGACTTTGAGCCTTATTTTGTCTTTATTTTATATAGCACATGGTTTTAGCTCTCCAAAAAAGTTTATAGTCTTTTCAGCCATACTTCTGTGCTGTCATTGCCTACTGTTGAATTTTTTCTAGCTAACTTTTTATATATTAAGCCATGTTAGTTCTTAAACCTCATTATCTAGCCATTGAATGCAGAATAATTTTTCATACTCAGCTGTGTTGTAATCATCTTTTCCTTTTTATGATGAATGTTTTTATGAACTGGAATATTTAATGCTCATATCTGCTAGAATTATGTGAAAACTAAATATTTTGTTTGGCAAATGTCAACGCTTGTTTTCCTCTTCTTACTGGTATCGTAATAAACAAAAAGTTTTGCTTCAACTGTAAAAAAAGACAGTGTAATTATTTGCTGATCTTTCTGTTTCAGTTACATACATTGTTCATATGTTTTATAGAAAAGTTTCAATTTTGTATTTAACTCAATTTTTTATGAAAAATGTGCGATTATATTTTTATAATTAAATTTTAAGTTGTGTTTTTTTTGTAGGATTTGAAATCTAATGATGTCTTATTAAATTATTATTTTAACAATTATTTTATAGTAAATTTTGTTATGAAGAAATTCATTGGTATTATTTTAAGTGTAAAAATGTTATTAAGTATATTAATTCTTCTTTCTTCTTAATTCTTAATTCACTTTTTACATAATAAATATTTATGGATTTACATTATACATTTAGTCATTTGATTATATAGACTTTTTATTTTAATCACTATTAACAAATTTTTATAATCCTTGTGAAAAGTTTCTTTCATTCAGATATAAAATTTTGACTTCTTTTCATTTTGTTTTTGTATTTTTAACAGTTGTTTTTCAAGAGCCACTTTTTTTCTTCTTTGATTTGTTAGATTGATTCTTTAAATTTTTTTCACTGAATTTTGAGATTTTATACAAGATTAAATAATGTGATAAATTGAAAAAGAATTATTTATAATTAGAATATATTTACAAGAAATATTATTTAAAGATTATTTTATTTGAATGTATATGAATTCAACATGTTACAGGTTTTTGTTGTTGTTATAAATATTTTTACAAGGTTTAAAAAAATATTTAAATTTGTCTTATTTTTTTATAGGTGGAAGATGCAATAAAGTTCGTGATATAAGTCATCCTTTTATTCAAAAAGGAGATGTAATAGGCTGTATTATTGATTTATCCATTCCTTTAATGTCATTTACTGTAAACGGAGTTAAAGTTAAGGGTTACTTCAGGAATTTTAATGTGGATGGTATGTTTTATCCAGTAATCAGTTCTTCAGCAAAAATAAGGTATGTTGAAAAAAATTACTGAATTTGAACATATTTAAAAACTAAGGTTTTCTATTAAAAAATTTTATTTTAAGTTATTAAATCAAATACATATTTTTGAATGCTTATTATAATTATTGGTTTTTGACACCATCTTTTACAACACTAATACATCTGTTTTTATCTGGACATGACTTTAAATTTTCCATCTGATAAAGTTTATTGAGATACATTTAAAATTGCAGTTAAAGGATTGTTGAAGATAGTTTTTTGTTATTTTATTTCATCCATGACATTCTCTTGTCAGGAGCAGGCCTGCCGTAAGCGGGCGTGCAAGGCGTGCACCGCACACGGGCGGCACGTCCAGGGGGCGGCAAATCGAGCGATCGGTCACGTAATAATTAGTCATTGTCATAATACCCACCCTACTTATAGCATAAGAAATGTCTTCACATGGAGAAAAAAATCCGACTGGGTGCAATTACTATATTCTTATTTATATTACAGCGTTAACAGTGCCTCTATTGGCATTTATCAGAATTAAGATGCAATGCGAAACGTCTGTCGGCAGGTTGAACCATTTGGCGGGCACCCGAAAGCCAAGTACCAATAGTCGTGCTGTATGACAGAAGTTGACAGGTTTGGCGAAAATAGGGAATCCCTACAGAGCTTCCTTCTCAATTTGTACTTGTACGTATTCGAACAGTTCTATTGCATATCAAATTGCAATTAATTTGTTAATAATTCTTCTGACATGGGTCGAAGTGTAATTAATGATATTTTAACTTGGTTAGGATTTAAATCTGAAGCTTAAAGATGATTCAAGTAGTGAAACNTGCTGGCTGCTCGCATATCTGAACACCAACGTTCGGTGGCACTTGGCAATTGTGACACGGAACTTTCCAAATTGGTGATACAACACCACCACGTAGCGCTTTGGAATCGAGTGGAAATACTCAAACGCTGTGATGAAGGGAACTTGATATACATTTGGGAGGCCCTCCTCACAAAACTGCTCTCCCCGTGCAACACCCCTACCCTCGATTTACCGGACGTCTGGATTAATTTATTCAGGCGGTTAAAAAACCAACAATAATTTTGCATTCTCTTCCCGCACCTCCTACATGATTCAAAGCACATACATGTCGGCCCCTTTATGTGCGTCTTTTTACGTGTGTTATGTATTTTAAATTATGTCCCGCGCTTTAATATTTAAAATTTAAATTTTAACATAAACTTGCACTTGTGGATCTATTCCGATCGGTTTCTATGCTGTCTATGTTAAGGCGCATGCGTGCCAAAAATTTTATACGTATTTACAAAGTGTTTTAATTTAAATTCTAAAAATTTAATTGTTCTTAATAGACATCTAATTGGCTCTCATGTTATGCATGTTAAGGTGCACGTGCGCCAATTTTTCGCGTTCACATAATAATTAATAGCCACTCCAATCGATGTTTATTTGTTTTAAAACGCATGCACACCAATTTTAAATGTTTAATTCTAAAAATTTAAATTTAAAATCTTTTTTGTATGTTCAAAAACGGCTAGTATCGTTAATGTTTTAAATTTAAATGTATGGTTCGAATTCTTTATTCGAATTTAATTTTACCTGAAGACGACGTGCTTATTTACGTCGAAAGCGCTCGTAAATTAAAAATAATTTCAAGTATATTTAACGCCTCATAGACTGACGTTCTTGGAAGTTTTGATTAAAAATAGAATAGAAAGCAAAATAAAAAATAACTAAAAATAATGCTCAGACTTGGTTCCTTATACCATAAAACTGTTGAAAAATTCTTTTTGTGTAAGGTGAAATTAGTCTCCAGTAATATGACTATTATAGACTAAATCTGTAACCTTAAAGAGATAATTTATGAGAAAGAGTGTGGTTTAAGTATCTAAAAGAATACATTAAAATATTATAACTCCTTTATTATAATATTTTTGTGGCTATTGTCTTAATATTTTTACAACAATAGCTGCAAAAACATTACAATAAAATGAAGTAATGCTGTGGCTAAACCCTTAGACATTAGAGAAATTTTCCAAAATACAAGATGATCCTGCACTTTAAAAGTGAAATTTGAATAGAATGTTCAATATCTAAATTCCTGGTTAAAAAAAAAAGTGAGAGAGAAATTAAACATGTGCAGATGTTATGAGTAATGTGAGGGATAAATTAGTCAGTTATTGAACCATGGTTTCAATTTTTATGAAAAATCAAAATAGAGGGGGAAAAGTACTTTAGTAGCTGGAAAAGGATATAAATACTCAGACACCTTCTATATTGGTTCCAGCAGATAGCTTTACCTATATTAGCTTGATTAGTAGACCATTAATAACCAGAATAAGGGAGCATGTGTACAACATCTCAAAAATTAATTTTAATACTGCTCTGGCCCAATTTGCATGCAAGCCTGGTGTGTCCCCATGTGTTGGAACAAGGTTAAGATTCTAAACATCATCATTGATATACAACAGCTAAGAATAACAGAAGCTATAAATCAATACTCAAGGGAAGTTGCATTAATAGTGAAGAAAATATTAACTTATCATAAGCATGGCAAGCACGGTTATGTTACCTCCAACTGTAGCAAACTTTAACACAACATTGTATATTTTGTCCCCTCAATCACTAGTCGTCAATATATATGTTAGACTATAAAAATTTTTAAATGTTATAAAACAGCAAAGTTCATTAATACAAATATTAAGAAGTGTGAATTAGTTTTAAGGGTTTTCAAAAGAGGGTTTCTTGTTGTAAATTTTAGCAGTCAAATCTTAATTATGTTTATTGCTTGTTAAAATTTTTACATTTATGTTTAATGTTCAGTAAGTTAGAAACAATAGATGTGTTAATAGTTGGATTTTTATAAGTATTGAATTAGAATTTCCAAAAGAACATTTTTGGCATTTGTTACTTTTTTTCTCAAGAAGAAAGAACAGCCACAAATAATCACTGGAAGCTTATCAAAACTTAGAGAGTCTTTTTTCTGAATTAAAACCTGTGAGTACTGGTGTAGATGGTTTAAGAGTGGTGATTTTGTTGTTAGCAACAAAAAAAAAACACTTGGGCAGCCAAAAAAGTTTGAAGATACCAAATTGCTTTAAAAGATTAATCATTTTATTGTTGTTGTTTTCATTTCTTGCCATAAAAATGGGAAAAGGTTGTAGAAAAAAGAAAAATATTTTGACTGATGTAAGTCATTTCATTTTTTTGTAATACAGTAGAGCATCGATTATCTGAATCAATAGGGGACTGGGGTTGTTCAGAAAATTGATTTTTCGGACAACTGATTATGTATGAAAAAATCATTATTAATATAATATATTAGTATATCCCAATAATAGTATATTAATATATCCCATGTTTAAATTTTTCTTCGTTGCGTGTCGCTTTGCATTGAATTTCTGTCAATGTTAATCCTAAAGAAAATTTTTATAATAATAATCGTGGCTATTGTGTCGTTAAAAATTATTTCTTTATTTTGTACAAACAAAATAAATATATTGAAAAATATAAAAACAATAAAAAATTATACTTCAGAAGTTAATTTAGTATCAAAAACGTAAAATATTTGAGTAGCCAAGACATAGCCAAAGATTGCAGCGCCACAGCACTGGCGAAAATTTAAATTCGCCGACTGGAATTCTTTCGGATGATTGACTTTCGGATAATCGACGCTCTACTGTA